TCTCTGAATATTTGCAAATAATACCTTTTTAATTTTTATGCAAACCAAACAATAACAATAAAATAAAATTGTACAATGTACAATTGTAAAGTTGTAAAATAAATGTAAAATTGTAAAATAAAATTATACAATGGTTGCATAACTCTAAGAACATACTAAAAACCACTGAATTATTTAAATTATTATCCAAAGAAATGCATTGAGTGGGATTTAACCTTTTAAATCACAATACATTCAGTTCAGTTCAGTTCCTCAGTCGTGTCCAACTCTTTGCGACTCCAAGACTGCAGCACACCTGGCTTCCCTGTCCATCACCAATTCCTGGAGCTTGTTCAAACCCATGTTCATTGAGTTGGTGATGCCATCCAATCATCTCATTGTCTGTTGTCCCCTTCTCCTCCTGCCTTCAATCTTGCCCAGAATCAGGGTCTTTTCCAATGAGTCAGTTCTTCGAAGCAGGTGGACAAAGGATTGGAGCTTCAGCTTCAACATCAGTCCTTCCAATGAACACCCAGGACTAATATCCTTTAGGACTGACTGGTTTGATCTTCTTGCAGTCCAAGGGACTCTCAAGAGTCTTCTCCAACACCACAGTTCAAAAGCATCAATTCTTTGGTGCTCAGCTTTCTTTATGATCCAACTCTCAAATCCATACATGACTACTGAAAAAAACCATAGCTTTGACTAGATGAACTTTTGCTGGCGAAAATTTTTAAACACATGCAAACTCTCACATTGCCTAATTCTTTCTCATCAAACAAACTATAATATAGATAAAATGGAGTAACTTTCATTAATTTTCCTACAAATGAAAAAGATTGATAGGTTGAAAATTATGCATGATTTTCAATTACAAGTAAGCTAGACAGAAGTATCTACATTATTCAAAGTTAAGGAATGGTTATGGATATTTCTCTCTATGTTAGAAGTTACATGCCCTTTTTTTTTTTTCTTTGCTCTCTCCTTCAAGACCACATCTCATCCTGGGACTTCCCTGGTGGTCCAGGGACTAGGACTCCATGCACCCAAGTTCAATCCCTGGGCAGGGAACCAGATCCCACATGCTGCAACTAAGAGTTTGCACATTGCAACTAAGAATTCCATATACCTCAACTAAACATCCCAAGTGCTACAGCTAAGATCAGTGCAGCCAAATAAAAAATATTAAAAAAAAAAAAAAGAACTCATCTGATCCTACCATCACCACTCCAGTTCACAGACCCTGTCTTTGACTCCATCTTTCAACATCCAGCTGTGGCATCTTCCATGGAGCCTCCCCAGATTGCTCAGGCACCACGAGCAATTTTAAAAGCTTATGTGCTTCCCTGGTGGTTCAAACGGTAGAGTCTGCCTGCAATGCAGAAGACCCGGGTTCAATCCCTGGGTCAGAAAGATCCCCTGGAGAAGGAAATGGCAACCCACTCCAGTATCCTTGCCTGGAGAATCCCACGGACAGAGGAGCCTGGCGGGCTACAGTCCATGGGGTTGCAAAGAGTCAGACATGACTGAGCAACTTCACTTTTACTTTTCAATGCTTATGTCACCAGCCTGTGGCTGAGTGGCATTACTAAGAATGGTCAAGCTTTCTGTTGACCACTTGTCATGGATGCTGTTCAGGTACTGAATGGAGAATTGGATTCGATCTCCTGAGAACCTGATTATCATTTTTTTATACTTGCAACTAGATCAAGGACTTCTTTTCCAATTTTTAAAAAATATTTATTTACTTGGCTGCATTGGTCTTAGTTGTGGNCCTGTGGCTGGGTGGCATTACTAAGAATAGTTAAGCTTTCTGTTGATCACTTGTCATGGATGCTGTTCAGGTACTGAATGGAGAATTGGATTCGATCTCCTGAGAACCTGATTATCATTTTTTTATACTTGCAACTAGATCAAGGACTTCTTTTCCAATTTTTAAAAAATATTTATTTACTTGGCTGCATTGGTCTTAGTTGTGGCACGTGGGATCTTTGTAGCATCACGAGGGATCTTTTGTTGTGGTGCGTGGACTCTCTAGGGGCACACAGCCTCAGTAGTTGCAGTGCTCGGGCTTAGTTGCTCTGTGGCTCGTGGGGTCTTTAGTTCCCCAGCCAAGGATTGAACCCATGTCCCCTGTGTTGGTAGGCGAATTCTTAACCACTGGGCCACCAGGGAAGTCCCCAAGACCATGGACTTCTTTTAACAGTTATCACATGCTGTTTATCCTCTCCACATCCTACAGTGGCCATTTAACAACCTTTATTATTTACATGAGGGTTATGAAGTTTTATCTACTATGGTTATCCTAGTGGACTGTAACAAAGGTTGCATCCACTCGTGTAGAAGGAAAAGATCTCCCCTGAACTGAGAATTCATTTTTCAGTTACCTGGGTAAAAGGCCTATGTCTGAAACTGGAAATGGAAACCAGGAAAGTCAAGACTGGGCACCCTTGATTTTAATGGTAGCAGGGCCAGGAAGACAGCTCCCTGGGGGTGGTGGCCATTGCATCATTATAAGGCAACTATCAAAGAGTCAGAAAAGGAGGGAAATTGGCTAGGTGCCATTACAGCTACAGGGCAAATACCCCAAAGGCCTGGACCCAGGATCAGAAAGCAGTAGTCTGTAAGCTTTGAAAACAAATGTTTTGACATCCTCCAAATTTCCCTTTTGTTTCCTACATGTATTAGGTGAAGTTGTTTTGAAAATCCAGTCTTCTTTAGCTCTGTCATGGGAAATGAATGAAAGGTTTTGCCTTTGCCTCAGCAACAGGGAGCCAGAAAAGAGGGCCAGGGGGCAACACATAGGCTTGTCAAACAAACCTCATGGGGGACTTCACTGATGATCCAGTTGCCAGGACTCCACACTTCCAAAGCAGAGGACATGAGTTCGTTCCCTGGTTGGAGAACTAAAAGTCCGCACGTTGCGAGGCACAGCCAAAAATAATGATTAAAAAAAGAGAGAGAGAAGAAGAAGCCTCATGGAATGGAGAAATTTGGAAGAAGAATAGCATCCATCTGGCCTATTCTAAATCCCGGAAGGTCAAGAGCGTGTTTTATCAAGGAGGGCAGCATTTTAAAACAAACATTGCATTATTTCGAATGAGTTCCATTTCTCACACTAGACAAAAAGACTAGCACAAAAAGACTCTTGAGAAAAATTAAAATGGTATTATTTGAAAAAATTCAGAGAATACATGCTACATATCTCTGCAGTATGGAGTAACACATTATTGCGTCAAGATTATCAAACTTTTATGAATAATAAGCTTTTCGCCCTTCCCCCAAGGTTTGTTTTCCCAAAAACTACTCTTCCATTGTAAGTAGTGCTGAAGCTGATCTAGAACACTGTCAAACAGCCCTTACTATAGTTACTCTGGATGTGTCTTTTTTTTTAACTAGATAAACTGATTGATCGATCTCCAGTTGTGGCTTGTGGGTTCCAGAGCGTGGGCTCAGTAATCACAGCACAAGGTAGGGCTTAGCTGCCCCTCAGCATGTGGTATCTTCCCAGCCCAGGGATTGAACCTATGTCCCCCGCATTGGCAGGTAGATTCTTAACTATTGACCACCAGGGAAGTCCTGGATATACTTTTTAAATGATAAAACATGTCTTACATGTTGTGAAACAGCTCTTCTGTTGTATGAACTACTTTTTAAACTATACAAAACACCATTTATTTTAGAATTAAACTCTCTAGAAATGTCCTTACTCTTGCCCCAATGATGTAAAATATATTAATATCTATTAGATTCAAATAAATCAGATAAATATGATTATTTAAAAGTCATATTAAAAGTCATATATTTATGACATAAATTTAACTTACAAGCTATATAAATTATATGCTTAAATATTTAGGCAAACAAGCTTAAATTAATCTTAAATATAAAGTCTCAAGATAAATATATTAACATTGCAATGTTTCACATCTTTAAATTTGTGAAACACTCCATTGGAAACAACAGAATAGTGATGCAATTCTTGGATGAAAATTGCTAAAACTTCTTAAAATAGTCACATAATTTTTAAATCCACTGACTTTGAAGATAGAAATGAAAAGCTGGATTGAGTTTCTCATGTCAACCTTAAAAATTACCCATAAAGACTTACATTAAAGCAGCAATTTTAAAAAAATATATCATCAGTGTGAATTTCAGGATAAGTATTTTCCCTGAAACTTTATGGAATTGAGTTCTTTCTTCCAGAAGAAAACTTGCTAATTTTTTTTAGGAACTTCATTCAATATATTTCTTTTTAAAGTCAATTATTTTGTACATTTCATATATCTAGGAAATGGGATATTTAACCAAGTGAATATGCTAAAATCTAAAAAACATTAACCAAAAAAACCCCAAAACCTTGAAAACTATAAAAATAGAAAACATCAGTAAAATATACTCTATTCAGGACCACTGATCATACACTATTTTTTAATATATAAAATGTACTTGCAGAGATTTAATATTAGCATAACAATAAATTATTCTACAATATTTTGGGGTGGGGAACCTGTTTATTCAAACTTTCTGATTGAATTTGGTGTAAACAAAGATTTACTGTCAGGACTATTTTTGGTATAAAAAATAATCTGATCCNATTTACTGTCAGGACTATTTTTGGTATAAAAAATAATCTGATCCAAAAGTGTTTAGGAGACAACCTGAGATTTTTAAAAGAGATGTATACCATCAAAATGGGGGTTTTCTACATCAACCAGCAATGAAATATTAGACCAGAAATAGTAATGATTATAAAATGCCACTTTGCCACTATCATTGATATTAACCAAGTAGTAGAGGAGTCAAAACGGAATAGGAAATGGCAACCCACTCCAGAATTCTTGCCTGGAAGCTTCCACGGAGAGAGGAGCCTGGCAGGCTACAGTCCATGGGGTCGCAAAGAGCCGGACACAACTGAGCACCACCACCATTAGAGAAGTGAAGATATAGAATTAATACTTTCAGATTAGTATGGGGAAAAAAAGCATATTTGGATAAAATTGAAAGTTAAAAATTAAAAGTTAAAAATTGAAAGTTAGTTTAATTGCTAATTAAAAAGCAGTCAGGTCTATAGGAAAGTAAATCTTCAAAAGGGAGAAGGTAACTGGTAAGCAGAGTATTTTATCTGCAGGCAATTCGCTGTGTTTAAGGGGAAAAAACTAGTCCCTTTCAGGGAGTTCTTGACTTGTCATTTCTCTGGGGGCTTTTCAACTTCATTTGTCCCCTTTGTGCGACGGAAAACAAAAGCCGACTTGAAGGTGCCATCACCATCCTGTTGTGAAAAGCAGAGGAAGGTGGCCCACAGAAGACTACAGAGTCCAGTGTAAGCTGTTCGCCAGCGAATGGCAATGAGGCTGAAGTTGGTCAGCTGTAACAGACAGAACACATCTGTGAGCGCTCCGTGTAAACCAAACCCACGAACTAGCATTCTTAGGAGTTTGAAACTCACCTGTACAAAAGGCCAGTACATCAGACCACTCTGGAATAAAGAAAAACTTTATTAGGATGCTTTTAAATTGCACAAAGTGATCACACAGCTTGTTCTATGTGTGTGAGTACTAGTTGCTTAGTCATGTCCGACACTTTGCAACCCCCTAGACTGAAGCCCACCAGGCCCCTCTGTCCATGGGATTCTCCAGGCAAGAACACTGGAGTGGGTTGCCATTTTCTTCTCCAAAAGGAGCTAAAGAAAGAAAGAAAGTGAAGTCGCTCAGTCATGTCCGACTCTGTGCGACCCCAGGGACTGTAGCCTACCAGGCTCCCGCATCCATGGAATTTTCCAGGCAAGAGTACTGCAGTGGGTTGACATTTCCTTCTCCAAGTTTGTTCTATAAAGTATTAAAAAAAAAAACAGCCACCAGACAACAAAATAAATAAATAAATAAAAGCAAAGATGAAACAATTGTTTAAAAAAGAAACACCAGGCAGGAAGAATGTGGAGGTGGTAATATATTTCAGACTAAGCAGATTAAATTAGACTACTTACAGTCTCTCAAGTGGAAGAGGGTGGGAAGTTGTACAGAAAGTTGTTAAGCACAGGAATAAAGACTTTTATTAGTTATAGTCATAGATCTAGACTATAGAAAAGTCTACCTGAATGAGGACCAATTCTGGAAGACAACTGCTTTCAAATCATTGTTAACAACATATATTTATATATTGCAGTTTTTCTGTTTGCTCACACAAATGATTCAGGGAAATACCGATAAAACACAGGATCATCAGTGAATTTTTGAAACCACAGACCAAACCCACTTCATGGTGATTTGCTAATAATGTATTCTAGCTACTTCATGCTAGAGAATAAGTTTAGCTTTCAAGATGAATTTATTTTAACAGGCTTTATTTAACCTGTTGGTTCGGGTTTCCCAGGTAACAGTGGTAAAGAATCCGCCTTCCAATTCAGGAGCCACAGTTTCGATCCCTGAGTTGGGAAGATTCCCTGGAGAAGGAAAGGGCAACCCACTCCAGTATTCTTGCCTGGGAAATGCCATGGACAGAGGAGGCCGGCGGGCTACAGTCCACGGAGTGGCAAAAGAGTCAGACATGACTTAGCGATTAAACAACTGAGTATACAGTACAAGAGGTGCTTGTTTCAAGCCCTGGAATAACCCTGAGAAACATTTTCCTTTTCTGTAAATACCATTGTGAAGTTAAGAAGATTCCTTTCACAGGGACTCAGCAGAATGTATACCTGGAAACATCGGCTCTAAATGTGGCAATGATTCCATTAAGCCACTCACATTTTACTATTCCTATTTTGCAATAACCTCTTTGACTCCAAAAATCACTGTAATCACCAACAAGAATAAATATAAGAACGTCAGAAATCATTGTGAACACTGAATAAAATTCAGAGACACATATAGACATTCTTAAAGCCTCTCCTTCAACCATTAAAACAAATCTAAAATTCATCAAAACATTGTGCCCTTGTGTCAACCATCTGGAACCTTAATTTAAGAATTTTTTTTTCATTTATTTTTATTAGTTGGAGGCTAATTACTTTACAATATTGTAGTGGTTTTTGTCATACATTGACATGAATCAGCCATGTATTTACATATATTCCCCATTTTTATTTAAATGTACTTTATGTTAAAAAGATACAAAAAAGGACTTCCACGAATCTGCCTTCCAGTTCAGGGATGAAGTTTCTGTCCCTAATGGGGAACTAAAATCTCACATGCCTCGAGGCAACTAAGCCTGCACACCACAATGAAAGATCCCGAGTGCGGAAACTAAGGCACAACACAGCCAAATAAATATTTTTTAAAAAAAGATACAGAAAGATATTAAAGAATCCTTGCATTCCTGGGATAAAGCCCACTTGGTCATGATGAATGATTTTTTTAATATGTTGTTGGATTCTGTTTGCTAGAATTTTGTTAAGGATTTTTGCATCTATGTTCATCAGTGATATTGGCCTGTAGTTTTCTTTTTTTGTGGCATCTTTGTCTGGTTTTGGAATTAGGGTGATGGTGGCCTCATAGAATGAGTTTGGAAGT